ATCCAGAGACCCATGAAGATTCTGACCTATAGGTTCCCCTGTGGTCCCTTCGCTGGGCACATGGAGATAGATCAGAGGCTTGCCGGCCTTGCCGGCCATAGAGAGAGGAATCCGGAAGGCTACACTTTTCACAGAATGGTGCAGGAAGGGGTATTGAGTGATAGCAATGTGAAAGCAGCTATTGAGACAATTCATGAGTGAGTCAAAATTCAAGAAGGGAATGTGGTATTAAGCTAGAGTTGTGGGACAGTTGTGGGTGTGACATTTAGATGTTTCAATGTTTAAACAAAACAAGTTCGTTTCAAATCTGTTTGCAGATTTTCCCAAACGTTTAAACAGAACCGCCCCTTTAGAGGTGTGACATTTTAATTGTCGCAATCTGGTATTAATTTTTATTGCAATATGCCTCTAAATTGTAAGCTGAAGTTCGGAACACTTTTCCCTTTCGACATCCATGTACTTTTTGAGAAAAAGGGATTCTAAAACAATAAACATTGCTTGTTTTAAATGCCGCAAACATCAATCTACAATTTTACATTAGTTGGACCATGCACACTGTTGAACTTTATAATTGTGCATACATACATATGAAAACACCGAGGTAAGCAGCAGCGGTTTTTGTGTAAAGTGTTGGCCAAACTTTTAAACAGTATGGGAAAGTTTTCTGAACATTTTTTCCAATTAAACATAAATTCCCACCCTTGCATTTAAAAGTGGGGAATTTCTGGAACATGTGCAGGGCAAAGAGCTGTGTGGCTTACATGATCAACTTGATCGAAATCAAGTCGCATTGGACGACGTTTTGAACTTCCATGCATGGCTGCATTTTCCTAATTTGAGCTTTTTCCTTTGGGTTTTCTGAAGTGCCCTGCAAAAGCTGGAAGCTCGCCTTGCAGACCACGACTGGCTAGTTGGTGACCAGATCTCATTGGCCGATTACTGCTGGGGGCCCAATGTCTATTGCTGCATGGAAGAGTACATGTTAGGGTTCCCAATGGGCCGGTACCCTGCCGTACGTGCTTGGTACAAAAGGCTGTTCCAAGATGAGGCTTTCCAGAAGGGAGTGGTTTCGTACAGCAGTGTTCCTCTCAAACCTGTTTTGGCCATCAAGAACTGTAAGTCAACCAACAGTGCCTATCCCATTTACAATAGATCATCTCTTAAAGTTTGTACGTTTGAGGCCACACCATGTCACACTGGTATGTCACGCACATGCACACAACATCCCACCCTATGAAACATAATCATCTTTCACCCCACTATACACAACACCACCCCGCCCTGCTCCACCTCTCTCCACCCTGCTCCAACCCAACCCAACCCAATCTGACCCAAGCCAATCCAACCCTACCCAACTCACCCACCTAGACCCAAGCCAACTCAACCCAAACCAACCCAACACAAGCCAACCAAGCCCAACCCAACCCAACCCAATCCG